TTTTCCCCCATAGTTTAAACATTGCCTTTCGTTTTCCTCTCCATAGAGAGTTAAGTCATGTTAGCAAACTGTTCACGTAAGAACTAGGTCTGCCAATACTCTCCATTGCTTCATGAGATTTGCATATTGACCTAGCCATGCCCACATGAGAAGTTTCTCCAAAGGCAGAGGTGTTACCTGTTCATTCTTTCTCGTTTAAGCACAGCTCCTACTATGGCTCCTATTAGGCATGAAGGTAAGGTTATTTTTTGGTTTTAATGTGGGATGTTCTGTCACTCTGTCTTATGATACGTGATATGTGAATCATATGATGTAAGTCTACAGCTTGCCTTAGTATGCTGCATTTTGTATTTGAGGGGATCCATGGAATTTTCTTTTGAAAAAATATTAATGTAATTTATATTTTCAACATTTTATTAGAATTACACTACAACACAGGAATGTTCTGTTTATTAATGAAACAAGTGGTAATACCAATAAAGCATGTGTCTAATATCCTTATTAACTAACTAACCTAGAAGTTGTAAAACATAGATGTATTTTCATATTCTACATATGTATGTATATAATAGATATGTGCACAATATATCTGCATGAATAATCTTTACTAGTCTTTGAACAGTAGTATATTATTTCTTTAGTATTACTTTGTTAATCAATGTTTTGATATAATCTATAAGACATTAGAATGCTCTGTAAAGAGAAGCTTTTTCCTTGAGAGGAGCCTTCCCTCCAGCCTGGTTCTAGAGCTGCATCAGTCCCAAATAAACACACAGGAGGCTATATTCATTATGAAGCTGTTGCCCTTGCTTGTTTCTTACTGGCTAGCTCTGACTTAAGTAATTACCCCATAATTGTTAATCTAAGTATTTCTCTTACCGGAGAATAGTTCTGGGCTTCCTACCCCATGGTGGTTACATCTTGCCCTGTTGTGTTTCTCCTACCCAGAGTCCTTCTGGACTCCTAGTCCCTCCTATCTAGATTCCCTATTGACCAGACAGTGCTTTATTGACAAATGCACAGGACTTCCCCAACAGAATGCAATTTTATCTTACTTGATTCTTAATACTTGTTCATTGTTTGTAATGTGTATACATAGTTTTCTTCCTAATGTCAGATCATTTTGATTTTATTCTATTTGTAAACATGTACTTTGAATAGAATATATGAAGGTACTAATAACATATTTATCATTTATTTTATTCAATGTATTATCATTGTGTATTATGGGGATGTAGCATCTGTGTGCCATGGCTCATGTGGGGGTCAGAGGGTGGCTTTTGGCTGTTTGTTTCCGACTTCCACCAAAGACTTCAGGGATTAAACTCCCTTACTTAGGGTGCATTGTAAGTGCTTTTACCCATAAGTCATTTAGCAGACCTATTCACCATTTCTTCCCCAGGAAAAGGATTTAATCTATGTTTAGGCCAACATTACCCTGGAGACTTTATAATTTTCTGAAGACTCTAGTAAAATGACAAGATGGGCAACTGAAAGAATGTAATTGAAGAAGACCAATGTCTAGCAAATAGTAAATGCCAAATGTGTTTGCAACTATTTTAATATTAAGAATTTTTGTTGCCTTTGCAATCTAAAATTATACTCAAAGTCATACAGAAATGTCACCTTTCACTTGAAGTATCAGAGAAACAACTTAGATTCCCTAAACAGTTGTCAGCAGTTGTGAATTGCCAACCACCTACATTTTTACATAAACATACGTTTTAAAAGTTATGTCAATCATATGATTTTCATTCTGCTTGAGGGTGTAGGTTATATGGACTTCCTTCTCTATCAGTGACACGATGACTATGTCTTGTTCGGTTTCAGATCCTATTGTGAATAAAGTGGGAATCAGACGTGAGTCATGTGACCCCTCTTCTAGAATTCTTGTAATGCATCTGCCATCTGCCTCTCAAATATGTCCTAATATTTTTGTTACCCAACGTGTTGCACTTCCTCTTTTCACAAGAGTTGAAGTGCATGAATCACCCACCTATCAGCACTGCCATGAAGGCGTTTTAAAAAGTCATAGACGGCTGGGGAAAGCATACCATTTTTGTAACCTTAAAGCAAAGAGTAAGAAGAATCACAACTATAACATAACCTTTAAGAGAAAATGACAGGAAGTTAATGAATAAAATACTAGTGTGAAAAGATTTTCTGCTTCCCTACATGTATAACTTGGCAAAACTGCAGTATAAAACAAACAAAATTGGACCATAGTGATTGTTATTTAATGCCTGATGCACACTCAAGTTAATTCTTTTTTTTTTTTTTTGGTTTTTACGAGACAGGGTTTCTCTGTATTGTTTTTGAGGCTGTCGGTCCAGCCCGGCCTCGAACTCACAGAGATCTGCCTGCCTCTGCCTCCCCAGTGCTGGGATTAAAGGCGTGCGCCATCACCACCCGGCTCTCAAGTTAATTCTTATCTAGAAAGAATAAGATGCAAACATATCTGACTGGGTTCCCTTAGCAATAAGGCTTCCCAAGGAATTGAGCCTCAGATCACATACATCCATTGATGTTTCTATTGTACCGTTCATATCTGTTTTATTATTGCTGCAGTGGATATCTATAAGGCTAAGTGTACTTCATAGAGAACACATCAGCTACAAATACTGTTAAGTGATCTTTAAGTATGAAATTCTAGGCCTGTTGAGATAGCTCAGCCCATAAAGAGCTTGAGGATCTGAGTCCCATTCCCAGAATCCACATTTATTTTTCATTTTTCAAACCAGTTTGCCCTCCCTCCTCTCCTCTCACTTCCTCCTATCCCACACCTATCCTCTCCTCCGCCATCTCCATTTAGATAGGGTAAGGCCTCCCATGGGAATCAACAAAGCACAGCATGTTAAGCTGAGGCAGGACCAAGTTCTTCCCCCTGCATCAAGACTGAACAAGGCAGCCCACAATAGGAAATAGGCTCCAAAAATCCAGTTCATGCATCAAGGACAGGTCCTGGTCCCACTGCTAGGGGCCCCACAAAAGACCAAGCCACGAAATTGTCTCCCAGATGCAGAGGGTCTAGGTCAGTCTCATGTTGCCTCCCTAGCTGCCAGAGCAGATTCCATGAGCTCCCAGAAGCACTTGTCAGCTGTCTCTACAGACACCCCCATCACAATCCTGACCACTCCCACCTCCCACCTCCACATACAAACTTTTTTTTTTTGGTTTTTACGAGACAGGGTTTCTCTGTATTGTTTCAGGGGCTATCGGTCCAGCCCGGCCTCGAACTCACAGAGATCTGCCTGCCTCTGCCTCCCGAGTGCTGGGATTAAAGGCGTGTGCCAACGCCTGGCCACATACAAACTTTCAAGTGATTTACGGCTCTGGTTGTAATTTCTTGACATTCATGTTGTAAATTTTATCCACTCTGTGCTTCTTCAGTCTTGAATAGCAAGGTCCTTGGGAGCTGTTGGCTATGAGACTGAGAATTCACCGGTGTCACCTCAGGGTGTAAATTTGATTGTTTAGTGTGTTCAATGGAATGTGTGTCATTTTGCTCTCCAGAGACAGCCAGAAGATGAGGACAACATTAAACTGCTGATTTAAAAACGATCAGGGTGGATGCAGTGTTCAGTTAGGCATCGATTTTCTGGAAGTATCTTTTTGTGTTGGTGTTGATATTGTTAGTGTTCAATAGTCCCTTTAAGACAGACGTCATCTGCCTTTGTGCTGAAAAGCTATTTTGAGATTGGCATGTTGGTATTTTACACATGAGAATTAAATTTGGGAAAAAAGTGTTTGCATCAAAAATAATGAAGTTCATAGTATATATTCAGAAAATATGTATTCTCAATCAAAATAGTTACTGAGCTATTTTTTTCCTCCCTTGTCATTTTATGAAATGGAGATAACATGGTAACAGTTATAAGAGGATTGCCTAAAGTTTCCTTTCCTAGAATCTCTAAGTAAATCTTTGGAAATGAAAAGGATAATTTATATTGAGGTTACACAAGATCGTTTCAGCTTTCTCCCCAAATAAGAGGTCTGAAATCAAAGTGAAAATCTCAACAAACCTGAAGTCTTTCAATGGCCTCTTGTTAATAGTTAAATAAATGTATCATTGTATTGATACAGTCACCCTGGAAAACTTAGCAAAGCTTAATATGAAGAAAGAATTTGTGGTTTTTCTCCAGGCTTATTTCACTACATTAAGTGTGACATGCCCACAGGAGGCAATGGACAAAATCTAAGGCCAAGGACTGAACTTAAACCCTAGCCTAAATATATCCCTGCCCATGCTTCTTAGGTAGCTTAGCTGCAGGAGAGACTTGGAGATGGTTTTCTAGTGAGCTTCCCAGTTCTACACCAGAGTAACCTTCTGTAGGTGTTCCCTGTCAGATCCTGGGACCTCCTGAGAGTCCTCTTTATTTTGAGGGTCTTGCTTTTCCCAAATTGCAAAGTTTTCTGTTCAGTTAGGCACAAATACAACTACGTCCACTGAAGGTGACTAAGGTACATATACATTTTGCAATGAGGCACCATGCTCGGTACTAATTCGATCTGTGTGTTTCTTGCTTCTTGTTAGTTCTATTTTTGATAAAGATATTAAGAGTTTTGTTTGTTTGTTGGTTTTCTTTTTTTGAGGCTCATTTCACTGTTCTCATGGATTTCAGCAAAAATTAACAACAAAAATGATAAATAATTATGAACTTCCAGCTAGAACAATGGGCCATTTCCTTTCATAAAGTCTGTTTGTCAACCGTGTTGATTGACAGAGTTTTCAATTATTTTCTAACTTATTAGTTTGAATGCATTTCAAGTTCCTGCTCTGTAGTATAGAAAAGTATTCTTCGTTGTGTTTTATGAGCTGAGATTTGCTAGCTTGGTTGTGACAGGCCAGTGAGTTCCCTAATTTACTTTCTACTCTATTTCAGTCCAGCATCTGGAATAATGATTGCACTTGAAAACAAAGTATGGAGGGAGTGACTCTCTGACTTACTCAGTTCCTTTTGGTTCTCTGCCCTCTGACTTACTTGCATGGGAATATAGCCAAAAAAAAGGGGGGATATAGGTGATGGGTCTTCACCATAAATAGACCCCTGTGAGCTAACCAGCTTAACTAGCTGTGTGATGTGTGGCTTTTTTTTTTTCAATTCCCCTGGCAACAAACCACAAACTGGGATCTGACACTAAGTTGTTCTAAAGCTCATTTCAACCCTCACACACATACGTAAGGAGGAGCTGGGCCTAGGGCTCTTCCACTGAGGACCTTCTCTTCTTACAGCTGCTTTCTGAAACGAGTGGAGCAACTGGTGGGTAGTTCCATAGCCTTCCAAAGGTAAGTCATATAGTTTTGTCTTCTTGAAATTAAAAAAATGAAAATTTTTTATCTTTCAAATGATAAATGATGATAATATCTAAAGGCAATTTTTATACCAAAAAAGTGAAAAAGACAAAGTAAAGTCAGTGCTGTCTTAAAATTTTCTAGGCTTCCTTTCAAAATGATTGTGCTGTTTACCAATATTCCTACTTTTTTTTTGCTTTATAGTATTTAAATTGTGTTAGTGGCTAATGACATTTTAATATATGACTCTTGATATTATGTGTATTTATCAACATTAATTTGTCAATATTTGAATTATCTATAACCTAATTTGAGTTATATTCAAGCGTTAAATATATTTCCCATAAATTATGTTGAGGAACATTTTTAATGAACACCATAAAGTGAGATTGATTTTTATAAATGTCTTGTACATCTTATGCCAAAAGTTGTATGCAGTTTGCTAACTATTTGTTACTTTTCAGTGCCATTACCTTGCTGAATTTTCAGTGTACAATTTTTTGGTGAACTTGATTTTTCTCTACATTATTAGGAGCAATACATGTATTAAACATTTATTTACCAAGTACTTTTCTTTAATGAACACAGATATTTTATTGTCTAGTAGGACCGGGTTACTTCAAACAATGACTTACTGTTTAATTACTATATATTAGAATGCAACTTAGTATGAAATATAAAAATAAAAAGGAAAATTATTGCCTTTGAAAATTCAAAAAATGTTTCAAATATTAGGAAGTTATTTCCCTAAGTCATAATTATGAGTTAAAATAATAGATAACTTATTCCAGATAATTTGAATATCTAATTAAATAGCCTTGTAAATACATGGCATAAATTCTTTACAATAAATTTGAACTGTTTTTGAAAATGTAAGACTTTTCAGTTCTTTCTTATATGATTTTAAGTTGCTAATGTTCCTTAATTTTTTAAATGCTGTATATACTGTATTGTAAATAAGTGAGAATAAAGCTTTTAACATATTTTACTAGTTGCTATTTCAGAGTCTATAAATGAACATTAATGCAAAAATTCTTTCTACCAAAATCATTATTAAAACAGAACAATGAAACAAAATCAGATTATTAGATAACAGGGTGGCCTGGAAAAATATTAAAGTTAACAATGCGAGTGGTATTTGTACAGTATGTACTTAAAATGTTGGAATTCATTTTGAAAATAATAGTTGTTAATCTTACCTTTAATGAAATGTGTTTATTTTCAAACAATTTGAATAAACTTGTATTTTTTGCTCATTTTGTTCTTGATTTTCTGAAGAAACCAATTATGCTACTATTTTGTGATTTAATCTAAGATATTATAGTTATTTTATTAAGACATTCAAGTTGTGGTCTGAGTGAGTGACTAGACTACATAAGCATTTGAAATTTGAAAGTATTCATGATATTTTATATAATCACATTTAGTGGAATTTTCTAAATCATGTCATCAGGCAGCATGAAATAGTTATTGCTACATTATAGCTGCTTAAAATAATATTGCATAACACTTTAAACTCACTGCATAAAACTAACTTCTTATGGTGGGATTATTTATACCTTATCAGATTTGATTTTATTGAACACTTGCAATCTTGTATAATCTATTACAAACTCAGAGAAAACAGAGTCAGAAACTAATTTATGCAAACCTATTAATGAATAAATATTTCCTAATTTCATATCTTAAAAACCCTGAATATCTTGTAGTGATATTCTAACTCTAGTAGAATTTGGGGAAGAGAAAGAAACAGTATTGGCATTCCTATCTAAGCTTAAATTATTAACACTATTTTTACCAATGGCTTGTATTCATAGTCTCACTTCATTTCTATGGTTAAAGCAGACAGAATCCATGGCATTGTTATGTCAGTCCATTGCTAACAATTTAGGGACTCAGGTTACAGAAGTCATAAAAACTTTCCCAGGCTTAGGGAAGCGTGTGATACCCTGGATCCTACACTGTGCATTCTTGGAATTTGTTACTCATTGAAGAAATATTCCTGTTATTAAGTTTAAGTCAGTGTGTCTTAAAGAATCACTTGGGACACGGACTTTGGACTCCCATAGAACAATGTGAGGTGCACTCTCACCCTGAACTCTTGGGGAAGGGTCTAGGCCCTGCCCTATATGAAATGACAGACTATGGACACCCCCATGGAGGGCCTCACCCTCCCTGGGGGAATGAGGGGATAACGGGGGGGTTGGGGGGGTGGCATGGGAGGAGGGGAGGGAAAGGGAGAGGGACCTGGAACTGACTTGTGAAGCAACCTTGTTTCTTATCTAAATTTAAACTGGAAAATAAAATTTAAAAAAAAGAATCACTTGAAGCCTGTAGTACTTCCTGGTTATAACTCTAAAAGACCTACTTACTTTTTGCAAGATTTGGTCTATCATCTTTATTGTACAATTACTTTATTATTTACTTAAGATTGTCACCAAGACAAGTTTTCATTGCAATTTGATAAGTTTAAGTGAAATGATTCATTAACATTCTAAGTTCCTGTCCATTTATTTGCTGAAATGTTTGCCTGCATATACTCTACTAGGATTCAAGAGGCATATGAGAACAAAGAAAGATTCTGATGACTTCAGTAAGAAAAGGTATTGAAGATCATCTTAGCCGGATAGTTCTAAATTTTCTGCAGAACCCTTGAGTTCTGCAGTGATTGGTTAGAGCCCCTTAGAGGTACAGATGAAAACAAGGACATTGCTTTTCCCATCTAACATTTAGTTCTTCTCTGAGCTTTTGTTTAATACCAAGACGTGCAATTTAACTACAGAGTTCTATTTCTACACATAAGTTTATAGAGGTCATCCTTAGGTCTTGTGTTTCAGCATGATCAAGTATTACCAGATAACTTAAGCCCTTTGTGTTAGTTTGGATTTGAGCGCATATGCTGTGTTTATATAGAATTATGACTTTACAGATACCACTAGACATGGTGGAGAGTAAATGAGTGAAAAGGACATAATAAAATTTGAAAGCTCCTGAACTCATATTCATCCTGCCTTCAACAAATCACCCCTTGTGGTATTTTCACAATAGGTTATATTGGGTAGGTGCTGTTCTTTTCTTGGGTAGGGAAGATTCGCCATGAGGAGAATGGCAGTTTTTGCAGAGCTGTGTGGCCTTATTTCTTTTACTAAAAAAATGGGAGAAGCATCACATGGAATGGAAACTTGTATGTTAGTAGATGACAAAAATGATAAAACCCTTTGTCCCAGTCTGATTCTGAAACATTTTCACATTTTACTGTTCACATCTCAGGAAGTGTTACCTGTGGGCTATGCCTTTTCTGGGTTGAGTTTCCGAGGGAACACAGCATGATGCACACATGGGAATAATTAGAGATTCTCGGGAGAATTTGCTGTATTGTTTGGCCTATTTGCCAGGGAGGCTGCTTATAGCCCATCCTCAGGCTATCTGCAGTCTCTCAGTTTCTATTAGCTTTCCCACTTAGTGCTTCAAAGTTCATGAGAGAAACATTCTGACAATGGGAAAAGGAAAAAAGAAGAGCATTTCCCTTGTTTCTTTTAAAGACATTGAAAACTATAGAATCCACTCATGCATCCAGGAAGAGAAATCTGTATGTATTTTACACGCCATATATGAGAGACCAGCTGATCCATGCTAGAAATGAGACTGGTTTGTAGCTAGTAACATTTTAAAGCCTGCATCTTGTTGCCTGTCCTTCTCTAGATTAGTCCAAGGAATTCTCTGTTCCTGGTTATTCTTTGCCTTCTAAATTTCAGTACTTAAATCCAAAAATAATTTATTGCAAATAACATCTTCACTAAAGAATGAATTTTAGTAAAGTTAATCTAAAATTGAAAATAAAATGACCTATTGTAAAATATTAACAACTGTGAAACTGAGAAAATATAATTTCATCAGGCCCAAATTTTGTGTTCTTTATTATCTAAATTGACAGATAGTTGCTAAAAAAAAGAAAGAAAAAGACTATGCTTTCTCTGGAGATAGATATGGATGGCCAAGCTTCTGGTTAGAATATGCTCACCTGAGTATTTGTGAAACACATTCTGTTTTATTTCATGTACTGTGACAGAACTGTATGGTTACACATGAATTCCTCTTTACTCAAAACGTAAAGGCACTAAATGACAACTAGTGAACCCAAGTAACATGTATCTTTCCTATTTTAGGGCAAATTCAGAAAATGTACTACCACACAGTACAATGATAATGAATCACTCATTAAAAACACGAACTGGTAGGCAAGCTAATCGCTTCCACTTTGTCAAATATATCAGCACATAGTTGAAGGCATGTAAGATAAATAATTACATTAAGATTTAACTATTGCAGGCCGTTGGTGGCGCACGCCTTTAATCCCAGCACTCAGGAGGCAGAGGCAGGATCTCTGTGAGTTCGAGGCCAGCCTGGTCTACAGAGTGAGTGCCGGGATAGGCTCCAAAACTATACAGAGAAACCCTGTCTTGAAAAATCAAAAAAGATGTAACTATTATTCAAAAAGCATATTCATTGATACTTCTGTTTTCTAAGAATTCTTACTGTACACCAGTGTGATGTGTGCACATTTTCCATTCAGTTTGAAGCAGATAGAAGCTCAGACCATGCCCACACCTATCTATTACAAAACACACTGAAGATTGATATCTATGCATTGCAGACCAGGTATTCTTTCTTGGATGCTATGGTAGATTCTGTATAGTTTTCCATCTCCTATAGAAACTTTTTCCTGTCATGCATTGTGATACTCAATAAGGAAGACTGTTCTGAAAATATATATTCCCAAATGTATTTTAACAAGGGATGATTATGTGTACCTCTAGTTCATAAGCAGTAATACAATTTTAAGGTCATTTTATACTCTACTTGTCAGAATTTGAAATGGTTTTACTGAATAATTTATAATATCTAGCATTTATTTCCTGATGCGTGCGCGTGCGTGTGTGTGTGTATGTGTGTGTTTGTGTGTGTGTGTAAAACTTGAAGGGTTCAATTCTCTCTTTGTGCTTTGTAGATGCCAAGGATTTGACTGTAAACTTGGCAACTAGCATGCCTATATACTGAGCCATCTCGCTGCCCCTAATTTAATGATGTTCATATGGGCATTAAATAACTTTTCAGAAGCAGGAACTCAATACATGTGCCTACTTAGATTTCATTTATATTTGCCAAAGTCTACAGCAACAGGATTTCCTGTCCCAGTGCTATGACTGTGGGTCACAGCAGTAGAGGCACATTTTTTTCATTATATTTTATTATATATTTTTAGGAAAAAGCTTGCCTCACATGTCAATCCCAGCTCCCTCTCCCTCTGCTCCTCCTGCACCCCCACACCATCCTCCCCAGCCTCCCACCCTATCCCCACTCCCTTCCACATGGGGATATCCAGAGTCTGTCATTTCACTCAGGGCAGGGTCCTGGCCCTCCCTCAAGAGTCCAGGCTGAGAGAGCATCCCTCTTTGTGGAATGGACACACAAAATCCATCTGTATGCCAGGGATAAACACTGATCCACTGCCCAGGGTCCCATAGGTTGTCCAGGCCTCCTCACTGACTCTCACATTAAGGGGGTCTGGATCAGTCCCATGTTGGCCTCCCAGCTGTCTGTCTGGGGTCCATGAGCTCCCCCTTGTTCAGGTCAGCTGTTTCTGCTGGTTTCACCAGCCCATTCTTTACCCCTTTGCTCATCACTCCTCCCTCTCTGTAACTGATATTTCAGGGGTTCAGTTCAGTATTTAGCTGTGGGTGTCTGCCTCTGCTTCCATCAGCCACTGAATGAAGATTCTAGAATGGCGTATAAGGTAGTCTTCAAACTCATTATCAGGGAGGGACAATTTAGGAGATCAGCCCTCTGTCAGATATGAGGTTACGGTTAGGGTTACTCTATCGCCATATATAAAAGTTAAGTCCAAATGGATCAAAGTCCTCAGCATAAATCCAGTCTCACTGAAACTCGTAGAAGAGAAAGTGGGAGGTACTCTTGAGTGAATTGGCACAGGAGACCACTTCCTGAACATAACACCAGTGGAAGCACAGACACTGAGGTGGACAATTAACAAATGGGACCTTCTGAAACTAAGAAGCTTCTGTAAGGCAAAGGACACAGTCAAAAAGACAAAAAAGGCAGTCCACAGGATGGGAACAGATATTCACTAACCCCATATCTGACAAATGGAGACACACTTTTTAAGGAAATCCTCTTAACCATTCCCAAGAAGTGTTAGGCAGACAGTGTGTCAGGGGCAAAGGTTCTCTGGATTATCACACTGCTTCGTCATCATAGTCTCTGTGCTTAGTCTCTCAGGAGACAACTGGAGCTCGATGCAAAACGGGTGAAGGATCACTTCTGCTACTTACATAGGAAACCACTGCTTTCACTTCAGATCATATTTGGAATGTTAGAACAGTCGAGATATAGACAGCCCAAATCTAGAAGGAGAGTGAAAGGTCTGGTTTGTCGTAACATCCCCAGTTTCTTATCATCTGCTGCACCAACTGGGTCCCACTGCTGTGACTGCTGCTTCACAGACAGGATTCTTGCTTTACAGCAGGTACTCCCGAATGGTATGGGCTCCTTACAAGTTCTTTGGTGGCTTGAAAAACTAAGTTTCAGAAAAGTCTCAGACTTTGAAGTTATAAGAAGGGAGTGGGGCTATGTGTAAGGAGAATTCCCAGGGTTTACAGAGGGAGCAGAGCTGCCAGGAAAGATTGTGTGCCTTCTGTTTCCTTCATCTTTTTGAAAGATGGCTGTATAGAGAGCGTTGTCAAAATCTCCTCCCTGGACCTCATCTTTTCTCAGCTCTGTAGACATCTGTTCCTCTTGGCTATGGGCATTTTGATGTGAAACAAAGCTGTTATGAGGTCCAAACCATGGGAGACAGCATACTAGGAAAGGTGAAAGATCACAGAATTGTTACTGAGACAAAGTTTGCCTTTTGAATATTAATAAGAATGGCACAACTGTTAATTTTGTTGCAGCAGGATCCAGTGATTCTAAAAATTATTTTCTTCCAATGTTACACAACAACCACATAAAGTATGTTAGCATGTACATCAAGCTGATTGCATGATGTACCTACTAACAATACTACCTTATTTAAAAGAATTGATATGAATACCTACATAGGTTAAAAATGAATGGTACTACAGTTGGTTGTGTAAAAGAATCTTAAAGAAAAACCAAAGAGAAAGCCTAACAGCAAATCTATATACATATAACATATACGTGTGTATTATTCAAATTCCATATCATATATTCTGTCAAAAAATCATTAGTGATAAAATAGTAAACCATATACACTTTGAAAACTTTATTGAAAGTTTTCACTAACTTAACCACTGAAAATAAAATTATTTATTTTTAACATTTACAATTACATTAGATTTATTTTGTGATAATGTGTTGTTCCTTTGCTTTCTTATTCTGACAGGTAGCTGATGAATGATTTGAAGTATTGATTCTTTGTGAGCCTCACCAGACTATTTCTTGCAAAACTGCCATTTGCTCACAAATAAGGTATGTGGTGGTCATTGCTGCGATGGTCAGAAGAAAGGGCACATCAGCCCAGTCACATTTGGTTTGCAGGGGAATCCCTGGCTAAGCCTTTATGGTTCTGTTTTGGTGGAGAAGGCTGATAGGGAGCAAGAGTACAAAGGAGCAGCCCATGCCCCACACTGTGGTGAGGAGTTAAGAAAGAGAGTGCATATGTATGGTTCTGCTTAGATAAGATAATAATATGCTACTCGCTCAGGGAGGAAAATCCAAAACAGGAGAACTCAAAGGGGGAAAAAGTGGTCTCTCTGGTATTTTCTGCGTCTGGCGAGTTTGTAGACATAACTGAAGGGAGAAGGACATAGAGAACCAGCTTGGTGAGCCAAACAAAAAAGATTTGTTGATTATTAGCTGGCAAAAAAAAACCATCTCTTTCGGTGGCATGTTTTCTTTGTACTTTGATCTTTTTGTAGTGATATTTAAGCTCCTGTTTTATGACCTCTTTCTAATGGCATATTCAAGTCGCATAGAAAACACTGCAATCATACCTGGAACGCGGTGAGAAGCAAGTACTACACGTTGATTCTTTTCCTGTACGAGGAAAATGGGCTGTGACCGGAACTGTGGACTCATCGCTGGAGCTGTCATTGGTGCAGTCCTGGCTGTGTTTGGGGGTATTCTCATGCCAGTTGGAGACATGCTTATTGAGAAGACAATCAAAAAGGTACAGGACACTGGGAGAAGCTGTTGTGCATTTACTTATTCTATCACGGCTCTTGTCGTCATAGCTGTTTTCTGTTACCTGGTAACTTTGGGCTTTGAAGGTGATTGTAAACCATTACAGCCTCGCATGACGACTGAGCCTGGGTGAAGCATCACAGTCTAACGTAAAATGAATCCACGTATACTATTTTTTTTGGGTTTTCGAGACAGGTTTTCTCTGTATTGTTTTGGAGGCTGCCCTGGCACTTGCTCTGTACACCAGGCTGGCCTCGAACTCACAGAGATCCACTTGCCTCTGCCTCCCGAGTGCTGGGATTAAAGGCGTAAGCCACCAATGCCTGGCTCCCTATGGATATTCTTATGAATGTAATGTAAATTAGGCAGGGATGTATTACTAATCTTAAATATATCATATTTTGATACACCTTCAGGTTATAGTTATATAGTTTAGTAAAAACAATTACCTTAATGTTTGAAGAGTAAACTGACATGTTTTGGATAGGAATATTGTATTTTATAAGATATTTTTATAAAAGAAGTTTCATTCACTTTAGCGATGAGAAAAATGCATGTAACTATGTGGGTTTACATGTGAAAAAGTATTTTTTATTGAATGGAGACCTCTGGAAAATTCCTCTTTGAAATAAGTATAATAGTCATCACTAATATGTAATCAGCGTTTACTCACCTTAGGATTTGGTTCTCTCTAAATTTAAGGGAAAATGTTATATAGGTATATATCAATGAATTAGAAGTTTAACTCAAATTAGAGTGATTAAAGAAGATGGATATGCTAATAATCATGTCTCACCCTGATTCATTTTAATTAATTTCACATTCAAAGAAATTTTAATGAATTGAAGATACATTATGGAGAAGCCTATCTACTGTCATCCTCTAGGGTAGCTGGGAAATTCAAGTGGTTTCAACAGTTTGGAAATGGAGGTCACAAATGAAATAAAGCAGTCCAGACAAGGCAAAGGCTGGGAAAAGGACTGTTATGAACGTGAGGGCTCCTGCCCTGCCCAGAGGCACCCAATTTCAGTCGAGAAATTATCAACTAATGGTTGCCAAGTGTCATAGCAGGACCACTGACCTCAGCTCCAGATGGGCTTTGATTCTAGCAACCTAGACAGACAGTAACTATACTAAGGAGAGCCGGAGAAATGGATTTGGCATATTAATTTGCACTAGAATTTCCATTATTGCCAAGGACTTTAGTCTCTCATCCATTCTTTAATTTTTGGCACTGCGGCATTCCTTGAGACATAAGCAAATGTCATTTGCGTTTACAGTAGCATTGGCTTAATTGACTTCAAATATATTTATTCACAAGTAGAATTTACTACTTTGTGATTTTGCTTTCTTTCATTAAAAATGCTAAGTCTTCTTTAAGTGGGAAGATACTCTCTCACTGAACTATTTTACTGTCTTCTTACTACGTAGAGTATTTTTTTTATTTTTTACAAGACAGGGTTTCTCTGTATTGTTTTGGAGGCTGTCGGACCAGCCTGGCCTCGAACTCACAGAGATCCACCTGCCTCTGCCTCCCGAATGCTGGGATTAAAGGTGTGCGCCACCACCGCCCGGCTATTACTATGTAGAGTATTTAAGGTAAAAATTCCTATACCTACATACACACACACTATGTTGCTTGATAATTACATAATCATCTTTTCCATTATATTTCTTCAACAGTTTGCAGTTAATGGAAAATGTGTTATACTGTGCAATACAACTATTGAAATATACACACTATTTGCACATTACATATCTTTTCTAATTGAAGCATAGCCCCTTCTATGGGCTTCCCAACTTTCCTTGGTAGTATTGATGGAGAACCACAAGAAGGGTGTGGGTGGGGAGGGAGAGGCTTGCTTAACAGTGCGAGCTGGGACGGCCACTGCCCCAGGCTTTGTGTTTTGTCCCTTGTGATATCCACCTGGATCATCACAGAGCATTGTCTGTGTTAGCGTGTGGACTGGAACTGCCTTTTGAACAAATGGTCTCAATCTTCCAGGACACAGCTTTATAGACTGACATGAACAATATTGAGGCCTGATCTTTTCTTTATGTAACATCATTAATTCACATAAATTTCCCTGAGTGATATGTGATGCTAATATCATTGTATATTAAATCTGAATACTTTTCTGTGAGGTCATAATGAGAACTCATAAAAAAGAGTTTTATCTAATTTGTAGAGTGAATAATTGGAAGGAAAATGAAATTTTTTTCTCAGTCGTGTAATAAATATCTGAAAATATGTGTATCTTGTAGGAGGTCAAATCCTGTTAGAACATAGGATTGAACTTTCTATAATGAAAAGTAAATGTTATGTAGGAAGAAAAACACAGATTATTTGTGAAAATTCAGGAAGACACAGTAAATTTTGTTTGATTTTAAAGAGCTGTATAATTTGAAAAGACCATAAAGGATCGTGTTTAAATTTTCAAAAGGACTCATTAACAGTAAGGGAAAAGCTATTGGTTGCAACTAAACGCAGTGAATAGGGTTAGGCTCAAGATCTATGTGGGAGAAAAGATAGAAAGATTGTGAAGTCAGGTAGTAGATGACTCCAAGGAGCAGCATCCTCAGACACAAGAGGGGACATGCACATATGAAAGCCTACAGAAGACCTGCAAAAATTCAAACTAAACTTAAATTTCATCCCAGAAAGGGGAAGTGAACACAAATTCCCACCCCTAACCAGTTTACAATTGGTATCTGTTGGTGAAAAACTAAAAATCACTTTTCTCCAATGGAGGTTACTGAGTATTTAAACTGCACATCAGGATAGATCTCATGCCAAGAAACAGTTGGCCAACACAAAATTATCTCAATGTTTCATTGTTCACTTTTTGTTTAGGTTTTTTGTTTTGTTTTGTTAGTCTTATTTGTTTTATTTTGTTCCTTTGTTTTAATTTTCAGAGAGAAAGAGAGAGAAAAAAATGAAGTTGGGTGGATAGGGTGGTAGATAGGAGGGCAGGATCTGGGAGGAACTATAATTGGGGGAGAGGAAAATGATCTAAATTTATTATGTAATATTAAAAGGTAGAGAACTTAGTGGGATTATTAGAATAATAAGAGAGATGGGTATAAAGTGGTAAGTTTTAAACTCTATGAAGAAGTCTAAGTAATTGTTGATCTAACAAACAGTTGCTATATTGCTTTCACTAAGATATAAGGAACACACATTCCAAGTAGTATTATTAAGAGCTTCTCACATAAAAATTGATTTACCTTTTATAATTAAACATGTGACATTATTTGATCCATTTTTTAATGCCAAGACATTAATTCAGCATTCCATCTTAACTAGTCCACAGGTAAAATTGGAGACTAAATGGTATAACCTTGAATACTATGATCCTAAAATGGATGAGATGGGAAGCGAAGACATGAAGTCTGCGTAAGAATTAGCATTATGGGAGAGCACCTTTATAGAAGAGAGTTTACAATTATGATTGTAGAACTGCCTTTGCTTACAAGCCCATTATATAGCAAAAGGACCAAAACAGTGGAGCTTTAGAACACTTATGGATTGCTGGATGAATTAGTATTTTAGATAGTGTGACGAAATTATGAGAGAAAGAACAAAATGTGATTTCACAAGTCTGGCCGACTTGCTGATGGAAATATATACCCAAAGAAGCGAAAGACACAGAAGTTTTGTAAGTGGCTTGGTGCGAACATCAGTCTGTATTCAAAGGTCAGCGTTCAGATAGATTTGATGATTGCTGGGAGACAACAGATAAAGCTAAACAAACAAGTTGCCGGTGGGGGGTTAAGTGTGTCCAGAGGAGCAGGATTGCTTCCTAAAGATTTGTGCATAGTCATAGGCAAGGAGAAGCAGGAATGGAAAAGAAGTTGGTTTTATGAAGAAATAGAAAGAGGGAGTATGATTTCTTAGAAGTTAGTAGGAAAACAGATAAAAAGGGAAGATGAAAGGAATTGTTTCCTGACTAATGAATATTATGGATAAGCAGTAGTTAGTGATTGTGTAGACAGCTCAGTGATATGTTGACCAAGCAAACATGAGGACTTGTGCTCAATACCCAGAACCCTATAAAATGTATGCCATGGTATCTTGTACTTGTAATCTCAGCAATGGTGACACACAGACAGATGTCTGGGACTTTTAGCTAGCCAGCCTAACCTGAGGTCTAGGTCAATGAGTGATCATATCTTAAAAAGGACTGTGGATTAGGGGTATCCTGAAGAAAGATAATTGAGGCTGATGTCAGGAGAGCACATGTCTGAAATCACAGATATGTGTATAACCTTTTAGAAAACGAAATGAAGCGATACAGAGCCAGGGTCGAGATGGAGGGAGCACAAAATGGAGGGGAGAGTGGGTTCTGCCAGGGGGCAAAACAGCAGGACACACTTCACACTGCCATGTGTGCGCATCTAGAGACTAAACACCTAGTTCTAGAATCTCGATGGCATATAAGGCTAAGCTAGATTTATGTCACATGAACATAACACTCATGCCAATTTCAGCCATTTAAATATGCTGTTGGGCTGTGTGGACGTGGTTAGCATGAGCGATGCCACAGATCAGTCCTGAGCACCAAGGAACAAAATCAACATTCGTAAAAGGTTCTTTCTCTTAGTCTATGACGCTATTTGTAACATGATACTGATGAGGCTGTGAGAAGGCTCAGTGGGCAAAGGCAACTGTCAGCAAGCCTGAAGTCCTAAATTCAGTCCCCAAGAAGGAGAAGGAGGATTTGCATTTCCAAGTCCTCCACTAACCACCACAGGCCACCAACACACACACACACACACACACACACACACACACACACACACACACGAGTCTAAATAAGCGTAATAATTTTAAATGATTCAGATGTAGTATTCTTACTGTACCCCAAGATTACAATCTTTGTTATGTCTCTTGCCTTTCACCCAGGAACATTCTTTTATGTGCTTTTATTTTTCAATCATAGGGGTTTGGATGCTGATATCCTTTTATTGTATTGTTGAAATTCATTTAATAATAGAAAATTCAGAAATATATTGCTTAGGTATAGAAGTATCACTTTGAAGATTCAAAATACTTTCGCATTTATAAAACATAGAGTTATACATTATGACACTCTATCATTCCAAAAGATGGTGACATGCCACTCTCATTTACAATGGTCTAAAGCAATCCAAAAAGTTTTATCTACAATACAGATTTTTTTATTCTTATTTCTAAGGTATATTTTGTAGAGATCACTTTCTTTGTAGATTAAACAATGGTCTTTGTAGGTCTGCATGAGACAAACATGTTTTTACTTTCTTGCCAGATAGCATAGAAACAGTATCATGAGCTTCCATGAATGTGCTGCTGTCCAAATCAAAGCTCTATTCTACTTACAAGTGATGCTTTGATATTTGGTATTGTTAGTGTCCCCTGATAAAACCTTTGGTAGCTTTTATAGTATAGGTTACTTTAAATAAATGCTACTTTCTCTATGACATACAAAGATAGAATTAAAGTTTATTTAATCCTATTAAAAGATTAATATATGGTGATTATACAGTTCAGTCATGGTACCATTTCTTTTAACCATTCTCAGAAAAAATGTTCTTTGGTACTTTTGAAAATGATGCCATATTTAAACAGGTAACACAATTATTTTTTAAAATGATAAACTTTGTATTTGAATAATATATTATTGTAGTATTTCTTGAAATCCTAAAATAATTCACACTTTTTCTTAGTATTTAAAAACCCAATAAATTGTGTTTATCCACTAAATATGTAAGAATCATTTTCTCTGTTATGGCATGATATTAAGGAACAGACAAATAACTAAGTTAAAATAACAGCATGCATACTTCCATATAGCTATAAAACGGATGTCTTACAAATCAATGAATTAGAAACATAATCCATCACACGTGGATGTCTTTTCATATAACTGACTTCTCAACCAAAATGGAAATCTTGCATTTTAGGTTCTTACATAAATCCTGAAAGGCTAATTTTTGGACTATTTGTTCTTAACACAATTGCCACTAATAATCTATTGAATTCCCTGCACAAAGCTCAGCCTGAAGCTTGTCTATGGCCATGGAAGTTGATATGTTGAAGGCATTTGGAAGGGCACAAGTCCATTCAGCAAAACAAATATAGTTGCTAGTGCCTACAACCTCCCCAACCATGGGCATTTGACCAGTTTTCCTGTAACAAAAAGGAATTCCCTCCAGTGGAGTGGAGACTCAAGTCTATACAGAATGAGGCTGGCCACTCACACCATAGTCACAGTACTCTGAGCATACTGTTCTACTTAAATCAGTACAGGCTCCATTGGAAGTGTGGCAAGACAAAACTCTATCTTTTAGTGAAGAGCTTAATGCCGAGAAAATAAAAATAACAACTGATTAACAGAAAAGTGTCATATAATATTGTGAATTCCTGTCATACAACTGTAGTAGACAGCTAATACTGAACCAAGACTGAGCAGTGTGGGAAGGAAATGACGGTAGAGTTTTCAATCTAATGTGCTGAGTCTATTTCTAAATGCCAACAGTGAGTATTTGCTTAGTGGTTTCTGTGTGTCTACACTGTTCAAACTCACATTTTTTAGTTGTTATAATTCATGAGGTAAAGGCAAACAATATTAAACTGTCCAAAAACTTTGCCTCTAAATTCATATGGCTCAAAATATCTAATCTTTACATAACAAGGAAACTAAGAAATAAATAAATTAAATAATCTGTTTGTATCACACATTTATAGTATCTAGTTTCTCTGTATACTGAATATTTTATACCTGACTCAGTTTTCACGTGGTCTTTGGTGGGTGAGGCAATTTTTAAATTTTTTTGTGCTCCCCTATTCCAATACAAAAAAAATGTGTGTCTTAATTATTACAACTTTGAAAGTTAAGTGAATGGAGACATGTACACACTTGGTTTTGCCATTACAGTAAAAGAGTACTCCTCTGCATAGCTGTGAAAGTTAGTGTGTACACCTCTGTCTTTGAAGGACAGCTCTCTTTCCACCCCAATCTGAACTGTCTATTGATTTCTCAGTTCAAAGAACAGAGCAGTGTGTATGGTCAGAAACCATTTCTAAATCCCCAGGAGTATGCTGACTTATCTTCACTAAGGACTGAAATAAATTTGTACTTTGAGTGACACAAGATAAATAACACCTACTATCTTGGGCCTTAAAATTTTTATGACTGACAGGTGTGTGTGTGTGTGTGTGTGTGTGTGTGTGTGTGTGTGCGCGCGCGCGCATGCATGCACACGGGGGAGTTTTCTCCTTTTATAGTCTTGCAACATAGTTAAGTCAATACAGATTTCAGCTTTAACATTCACAAACACCTTTATCTTAAGAAAAGTTAGTATTCTTAGTTTTGGAACTTTGCCCTAATACTGGGCTCGTGTGGAAATAAACACTTGACAGCATATCTTTTTTCAAGGATACTTCATAGAAAAACAATAGAAATCTGAACATCACGTGAGCGGCTTTTGTTCGAGTGCACATGGGTTAAACCACTAGAGAATTTTCAAGCACCTCCTAGCCTACAGCCTCCTTCACGATGGACTTCCATCATCCCCTGCATTAGGCAATATAATTCCCAAAGACACGAAACTCCATTTCACAGCTACCAACTAAGAACAGAGGATGACTAGGGTGTGTGTGAGACAGGAAATTCAATGACAGTATGAAGCAACAGAAGACTAGTGTAACAGTCAACGAAGCAGATTTCATTATTCACTATGCTATTGCTTGCCTGGGCTGCACTTAAAACCGACACCTGCTTTGTTAGAGACTCTGTGTGTTCAACCTAAAAAAACAGGCTCTACTTCTTGCCCTTTCCTGACCCTTTCATTCAGAGTATTGATATTTCCAGGTTGATGAAAAAAAAGTGGGCTGTGTTGTTCCTGTGCTCATCGACTCCATTAGGCCAAATTTCTGTGAAATATGTTTCTTCCTCTTCCCCTTAAACACTCCTGGACCTGTGCATTCCTCCCAAAATACTCAATTGGAAGTTCTACCAGCAACAAACTCTCTTTGTTTGCACTGATTGCTATGACTTCACAGACTTCCTGTTCAGAGAGTGAAAGTCATGGAAAGCAGCTGGGCAAGCATCTATGGTAATTCTCCTACCTTGCAGACAATGAAATGGACCCAAGGAGTTTTGTGGCATTCTACTTCGGCTCAAAGCTCTGAACAGGAGGTAGTCCAAAGTTGAAAGAGTTTCAGTAATGTTGCTGTATGTTCCTCCCTGCGAATTTTCACCACAATAAATATACATGATTTATAATGTGTACAATGCCACTCACAGACACAAAAAGACAGACAGCAAATAAACACACACACACACACACACACACACCATACCCCTTCTTAATTTTGCTTTTTTCTTTGAAAATTAGTAGTGCAATGACAGGTTAAGCAGTTGTATCTTTTGGAAACACAGAATGAGGCATTCCTGAAAACATCCTGGGATTTAGAGAAGTCATATTGAATGGAACTCCAAGTAGGAAAATCCATACTTAAGTAATTTATCTATAAGCATTGACATTCATCATTTACTAAAGATTAGTCATAATCTTTTGACTTGCTCAACTTTAGAAGATAGTGGTTTTGTTGTTGCTGTTTCAGGCTCCCAATGTTACTTACATTTTTTCTTGGCTTTTTTTTTCTTTTACCTCACTGATAAAGCTTCTCAGAGTGAGAAGGTTACAATAGGCAAAACCAGCTTTTGTGTGATAACTTTTAGAATTAGCTTGACTTACTGTTTTGTTGACTAAGAGAATGTTGCCATGGGTTCACCTGAAAGCTTCCTTTAAAAAGCTTCAGAAACTTTAGCCAAGAGAGGGTGCTCTATGAGGACAAAGTTCCTGCTTCGAATTTGTGACAAACTTACGCAAGTTCTCACGGGTTATTCCTTTTATTACCACTAAATGTAGCAAGGTCTTAGAAGCGTCCATGTTCATTGTAAAGAAACAACACAAACTTGTTTTATTTTCACAGGAAGTTGTCCTTGAAGAAGGAACAATTGCTTTCAAAAACTGGGTTAAAACAGGAACCACAGTGTACAGACAGTTTTGGATCTTTGATGTGCAAAACCCAGACGAAGTGGCCATGAACAGTAGCAAAATCAGAGTTAAACAGAGAGGCCCTTACACTTACAGGTGAGCAAGTTCTTCAGCAAGAGGGTTTCTTGCCTCATTTCTGAGTTTTCCTCCCAAGGAATTTCCACTGTGTTGAAATGCACTTATTTTCTTGCCATCAACCTACTTTTTTACACTACCTGTAGAGACTCTTAATCTATAGATTTAATAACTCTTTATTTTGTTATACACACCTGGTGTCCAAATGTTACCAGATATTGTATGGAAAAGAAGTATAGAATTTATTTTCAACTTAAAGCTATCAAGTGACTCAACCTACTCAACAACTTATGGGTGTTGTATTTGACACTTCTGTCATGTTCCTAACCCCACAGTGAGCATGCTGAGAGTTTTATGCATACAAGATGAACATCTTAAAATGAAATGGGACTCTTACATCTGTGACTATCAAGGCATGGTTTCTGGGCCAGGAAAAATAGCAACATCCACAACCTCTATGCCAAAAGTATCAACAACTCTACATGTGCATTTTAAACTCCTCTATGTGATTCAGATGCATTCTCCATTTGAGAACCACAAAGCTAAAATGATTTTGCATAATGTCAGTTCCTGCTAAGTGCTGAGGTCATCTAGATGTTGATATTTACATAACAATTTAAACCTTATATTTTCTCTTTATGCTAGAATTTTATATTAAATGCTCTAATAGTTTATTTAGCACAGTTATAAATAGAATCTTAAATGAATGCATAGGAGAAATAATCATTCAAAACCTTTCATTGTGTGAATAAGGAGAAAACAAAAATCAACACCATAAAAAAATCAAACCAGAAATACAAGACAACATTCTCACAGAGATAGGGACAGCTAATTATATTTCTGCATAAATTTTCTTCTATTTAATTTATATGTTGTCTTCTTTTCAACTCTCACAATAGTCAGAGGCACTGAAAACAAAGCGCCCTACCTGTGGAGTAGGAAGACATTTATATTCCTATGAGAACACAGTTGAACCTCTTGTATCATACTTTATAAATGTATGTGATTTCCTATCAAGGTGAAATACAAGTACTTAAGCAATGTAATTAAGTTATATCATAAATTATTATATTCCTAATTATCTTTATAATCTACAATTGTAATTCCTAAGGGTTTTAAACATCATAAGATTGTTCACTTTTTAATTTTCTATAAAGCAAATTTCTGGATTAACATTTGACATTCCAATTTATGACAAAATAACAATAGCCGTTGTTAAGATGATACATACTGTGCCAACAAACAATTAAGGGCCTATCATATTTTATTAGTCTTCTCTTTAATGAAAATATCAGTAGCAATTCACAATCTTGCCAAAGGAGACTGTTTTTATAACTGCAAGGAAGATAATTTTTCATACGAGAGTACCTATTAGCAAAATAATCTGTAAATATCTTATTTCTAAAAAAGGAAATAGTATAGTCTGTATCTAAGAAATCTATAATCCATTATAACACCCAAAAAGATAAAGTTGAAAATATATGCCAATTGTGAGAAGGAAATAGTTTTTAGAATTTAAGAAACTATCATGTTTTTGTTGTTGTGTTGTTTGAGGATAATGATTCTGTTTGGGGTTTTGTTTTGTTTTTATTTTGGTTTATCAATAATGATAAATTTTCATCTTTAAGGATTTGTAGGTCTACAAAGAAATGTAAACATAGCAATTAAGCATAGTTATACTCCCCAATAAAGCATATATATACTATAGATTTCATTTATACAACCTATAGCCTATCTCCATATACATTAGGTACATCCTTTTTTTGCTTGTCAAGGCAACACAGAAAGCTGGGTAGGAGAAGAATTTATAGGCACAATTTATAGACAGCAAGCTGTCCTTTGCATGGCAGTTTCAGACAGGACTTTATGGAGTGTGGCTCATCTTGTCTCATGAAATTCCAAACCAGAATTTCATTAGCTTGCCTAGAGCTTAAAGTAAATGGAGGATAATCAACTGTCTTTTAAAAAGTTGCAATTTTGAAGATATTTTATATGTTAGGTGAAAGCCTGCCAGGCCATTGGTGACCCTCTGAATTCAGTTTAAATTGAGGCTGTAGAAAATTATGCCTCCTAAAAGAGAACCACTGCTTGATTTGGCCAGTGACTCCTAGAATGGTGTTAATGAAGTATTTATTGACAGTATAAGACACGATCAAAGCATAAAATTACCTGGTTCATGATCATAACTATATTCCAACCAACAATGACTGCTTACTATAGTCCCTCTGGTAATTTTAAAATATATCTTTACTTTGGCAATAATATGAATGAAAGAATCAAGTAGAGATCTATGGTAACTTATTAGCCAATGCCTCCCAAGCTTCCTTAAGAAAAAAAAAAACAGTGAGAGATTATGTTCTTTCAAAAGAACTTTTCTAAGACCATATTTTACTGGTTTCTTTTACTTAGTGCCATCCACTGGTTTGAGGTTGTAAGTGCCATTTAAGGGGGAAATGTCCAAATTGTTTAGCTTTTGTTTCACTTAGTCATAACTTCATCGAAGTTTCTGAAATTGCAGTAGCCTTCTTGAATCATTATTCATAGGTACCTTAGTTTTAAAATAGTTACTTTGTAAGAATGGCATCACTTGGAATACAGTGCCTTGAGTTGTTTCTTAGATTACTTAAATGTCTCACTCAACAGAGAATAAGTAAAAAAGCTTTGTGCAGCATCTATTAAAATCCTGTTCCCCTTTTTATGTAAGCCATGTTTTGAAATAATATACCCATTAACTTGCCTATTCATAGAGAAGTGAGAATCAGGTGTGATCTTTGTAATTACAGCACTTGGGAAGTTGGCACATAGTAAATTGATGGCCAATGTGACCTACATAATTCATGCTAAATAGTAGTCAAATACTGAAAATACCATAAGCTCATCATGTATGTGGGGACCCATAATCTGTACTCCACAGATATACATGTTTCATATAAAACGTGTAGGCTCATGCTTTTTTTTTTGGTCTACACAATAGTTATAATTCAGCTCATATATTTGACATCCAGATACAGAAGAGTGTGGTGTCTACCCTATTTCTTTCAATGGATAATGTGTACCATCAAAATGATTTTCTACAAAACAATCTTTTTTAACTGTTGTGAAAAGTATTACATTGAACCAAAACATTAGAAGTAAGAACTCAAGAGATAAAATGAAGGAATAGAGTTAGCTCTGAACCCCTTTAAATGGGAAATGAGTTAATGAACTTATATCAGGAATGCTGGCTAGACTAAACACCGAAACATCTTTCTAATATGAAAAATACACTCTCTGATCCTCTTTACCTTCAGGATAAAGATCATTATGTAACTATATAGCCCGTTTATGTTTAAAATCTCACTGTGTCTTTTATTCCTACCAACTGGTTTCTCTCACTCTACAGTTAAACAGCACACAAACACTTGCATTTCTAAACCACATCATCATCATCTTCAGTATTATCCAATTGCTACGTTTAGTTCTTCTTAAATACATCTCTATTAACATGGACCATTGCATGGATTTGTTACTGAAATGATTCTTCAAGCCATTCCACTTTGACATCCAAGCCTGGCATCTGTTTTAGCTTTCTTAGTCCTATTCTACTTAGCTATTCCCAGGTCTGAGGTCCTTTCTGATTGGACTGTCAGAGATGTAGCAATAGCTAGTTCTTTTATCCTTGAAATCTGTCAGTCAGTATGAATTGTGACTTGCTCTGGGTTAAAATAGTATTTGTTGAATGAATGAAGACATTTGCTATATAATGGTTACACAAGACATTGATTTTCCCCCATTTCATTGACTTCTCTTTATTTCAGAGTTCGTTATCTAGCCAAGGAGAATATAACTCAGGACCCAGAGGACAGCACTGTCTCTTTTGTACAGCCCAATGGAGCAATCTTTGACCCTTCACTGTCTGTGGGAACCGAGAATGACACCTTCACAGTTCTCAATCTGGCTGTGGCAGTGAGTGGATACTAGCTACTATGTGGGACAGTTCAGAGCCTCTCACAATTAATCTCATAATTACCCTCATCATTTGGATTTACCACCTATTAAAGGATGTGTTTGTGTTATTTTGTCATCTAGAAACATGACACAATGAGATAATCAATTCATCTAAGCATCGTTAAAAATAGCTCTTAATTTGAATGTCTTCCCGTGACTAAAGATGATTCTAAAAAATGTAATCATGAAAGGATTAGAAAAAAATGACACAAATTATAATTTTATTAAGACAGAATTTGAAGGTTTAGTTTGATTTTAATTAAACTCATTTGTTTTCTTTAATACATTTATTTAATAAGTGAAACATACAGATTTCTCAGATAATGATATTTTTCTGCAGGCTGCACCACATATATACACAAACTCCTTTGTTCAAGTTGTGCTCAATTCACTTATCAAAAAGTCCAAGTCTTCTATGTTCCAAAAAAGAACTTTGAGAGAACTGTTGTGGGGTTACAAGGATCCATTCTTGAGTTTGGTTCCATATCCCATTTCTACCACAGTTGGTGTGTTTTATCCTGTAAGTACCAAATATAAATTACTATAGTTTTGTATTTTAATTGTGTAAATAAAATATCACTGGGAAAATGTATAGTTTTACATGTTAACCTTATTAATCTAAGAATGTATAAATCATTATTTTTAAATTATGAATCTTACATGCCGTAAATTTTGCTAGAGAAAAAATTACTTAATGAGTGTGAATAAGCTCATCTTAATTTGAAAATTAATCCAACTTTGATTCTCATAGACAATTGAAAAATCATTCATAAATCTGTAAATCTTTGCATGTTGTATTTAATTTAAAATTTTGTTCTAAAGAATCAAGGTTAATAATATATTTTTGTATTAAAAATAAAGCATATTGATCACCTCCTTCCTCATTTTCTAGACTATTAAAACTTTTAAAGTATGAATGAAAAAGCTATTGTGGATTTCTACTTGAGATATTCAGCAGGTTTCACTTGCTGAGGGCTGTGATTTGATTTCACAGAATAGCCATTTAGTGGTTAAGGAGGTGCAGACCTTCTGCTCTACCTTTTGCTTACAGATAGGATGAGACAGCCCAAACCAATCTATGCTTTGACTGTTACAACACTGGACCCTGTTTAGGAATATTACTAATGTTTTCCATCTCTTTACTTAGTGTTTCAGATTGTATACTTATATATTCATTAAATTTTATGTGGGAAGCCTGAAGGAAATACTCAATCATTATTTGAACCAAATTATCACAACTCTATTTTTAGCTAACAGAAGCTTTAATTTTGTTTGTATATCTTTTTCATTTTAGTAAGCTCTATTAACAATTTGAAAATGTAGAATACCTTCAGAAATCTGTTACCATTCTCATAAGTTTAGACCAGTGTGCCCTCACTTGAACACAATAGGAACAGTGGAGAACATCGCCTCTGGTTAATGCATAGCCATGCTCAAGCTATGCCCACCAGCCTCTGTTAGTGATTTTCTTACACTTTGTCTCAGCGCCTACCAGTTATTTCCCAGAAACTTTTATATTCTACCATTAAAATAATGAATGACATAAAATGATTGTGAATGGCCCCTTTTTTAATAATGTGAAAGTAAGTTAGTTGCATGTAACTATATAAGATTTGATATATGAGTAATTTTTGTTTATATTTTTCAGTACAATGATACTGTAGATGGAGTTTATAAAGTTTTCAATGGAAAGGATAACATAAGCAAAGTTGCCATAATTGATTCCTATAAAGGAAAAAGGTAAGTAACTCTATGTTTTTATTATGTGTGTTTGTGTGTATGTGTGAGTGTGTGTGTGTGTGTGTGTGTGTGAGAGAGAGAGAGAGAGAGAGAGAGAGAGAGAGAGAGAGAGAGAGAGAATGAGAGAGAGAGCCTAGCTGTATTCTGTATTTTAGGAGTGGACAACACTAGCTTACCTCTCACTCAAAATTGCTGAAGAAGATTCTTGGTCATTTAATTCTATTTTTTTGCTTTTATATATAAAAATAGATGGATTAGATAACAAAAGATAAATTAGTTCTGTCCCATTCTAATATCAGTGCCTGCTAATTGTAAAATAGGGAAAATGTAAAACCTACAGAAAGTTCAATGGGGAAAAGGTGAATATTAAATATTTACATATTTTGAACTATATGAATCCAAACACTGCTATTCTGCTTTCAATTTTTCTCTCAGGGTGAGCTTATCCCTTCAATACTTGCATTCTATCAGTATGCACACTGAACAAACTACCACAGAATGCATTTCTGCCAAGAAAATAAATTCCTGAATAGAGAACTACATTCCTCTCACTTTCTTCCAGAACTGGGCCTATTCTAGTGGTTTCTAATGAACTTGACACTTATTGGCTTGTGTTTGATGATCTGTCCCATTAAGGTTCCCAGTACTTCCTTTATTGCAATAAGATTAGAGGATCAAACAATCACGGACTGAATTGTGTGGAATGCTTATTAAATCCTAACTGTCATCACCTCTATTCTTCATTATGTTGATAAAAGCAGTGTTTCAAAGTAGAACGCATAGGTGAATATGGTGTTCCTGAAACAGCAGTATTTGTTTCATCTTATTACTTTTATTCCTAAGGAATTTGTCCTATTGGCCAAGTTATTGCGACATGATTAATGGCACAGGTAAGAATATTTGTTGTAAATAACCACAATAAGAAAATCTTACCTTTTCCCACACATGTAGCTACTTCCCAGAAAAATGGATACTGAAGATTGAGGGGCTGTGCTTACCAGTCAGTATAATTGGGAGTGTTTACTTTCAGGTAGGATCAGGAAGGGTCTATCATCTTAAAGTGGCCATGGCTTTTTAGATTAACCACAGAAACTCAGCCTTGTTTCATTGATAGGAAAGTTCTGCTTTGTAAAAAATATCTTACTTAGTGAGCTGGCATCCGACAAGTGGTTAAAAACAAATGTAGAGGTGTAATTACCAGTCAGTGACTTCTCAATATTAGATTGATAACTTAAATGTGTATAGATATAATTTCAAGTAGGAAAACATATCCCCAAGAGAGATGCAAAACAGAGAAGGAGACAGCAGGATTATATAACTGAAGCAACCTATTTTGCACAAGTTGGTCAGAAATGGTGAAAAGCAAAATAAATAAGAACAGATGTCTACTACCAGTGAAGAATATATGCTTAAATGTTTTCTCTAAATTATATTTTATATGCAATGAAACAGCTTAAGTCTTTGATTTAGGATATGAATAGTTTGGGATTATTACTGCCCTCAAAGAAAAGCTTAGGTCACACTGTCCATCCATGTAAGAACTAAGATTGTACAACACAATGGAAATCAAATATCGTGAAGTAATTTAAGTCAAAGATAAGCCTTTAATTACTGAGACGCAAATGTATAACGTTTACAAAGCAGATGAGGAAATACTTAGTAGGGAATGTACATAATGAAGATAATGAAAGTTAAATAGAAAAGGAAGCACATGGGGGCTGTTTACCCTCTCAAAGGCAAGATTGAGATTTACAGGTTTATTTAATTTTCTTTTGTCTCATAGGGTGGGAAAGCTGGAGCAAAGTATTAATGTCTTCCAAGGGCAAACCTCCAAATAAATTCTCAAGTATTTTAACACTTTCATAGTTACACAAGACTAGTAATCCTTAGACAAAGAGAAATGCTCTATGCTATTCCTAAACAGTAAGGAATGCCTTGTGTATAAGAGAAAAATCATTAAGAACTCTGTTTGAAACTGATATTGGTTTAACTAAAGAAGGCATAGCTTTGGAAACTTATTAGTCACAATGACAGGACCATCAGCCATTAAGTGGAGAATATAGAGACAGACTAAAGAAGTAAAAATGAAAAGAAATAGAGTTGTAAATATGAAAAGATTCCTGTGAAAGGGACACCTGATTTTGGACCAGGAGGGAGAAAATGGCCACTGAAACAAAGATGCTAGCATGTGACTATCATAATCTAAAGGTACATCTTCCCGCAGTTTGACACATATCTGATGAAAGGAGTGATACACATTTAGAATGCTTCTGCTCAGAAAAGCAACTCTGGATAACCAAAGCGTTATCCTTTGGTTAGTAGGCCGTTTGACACCCAAGTACAAAAACCTGAGTTAGATCCTCAGTTACCATGGGAAAAAAAAAACAAACCAGCCAACAGACAAACAAAAACACTGGAAATGACAACATGTACTTGTAATTCTATAGCTGGGTAGGCTGAGATTGGTGGATTCCTAGAGTCCATTGGCTGGCCAACCCAGCCTATTCAGTAAGCTTCAAGGTCCAGTAAGAGACAACCTTGGTTCAAAATGAAGATGGACAACCTCTGCCAAAATATCACAGAAATGGTCCCTAAGTTGCCTCTAAGCCACTTACTAATATTCTTTTCCTGTAAAATCTCTTGAGCAAGGCTCCACACGTCAAGCTATCATCAGCATTGTCTTCCATGCTCCTTCTAGAATGGCTCATTAAACCCTGCTTAAAGCATTCCACTGCTTTTCTAGGCAAAGTCCCAAAGTCTACATTCTGCCAACAACCAGCATTGTCAGATGTGTCAAAGAAATACCAACTTCCTGATACCAACTTCTGTCTTAGCCACTGTTCCATTGCTGTGAAGAGATACCATGACCATGGCAACTCTTATAAGAAAACTATTTAGTTAGGGCTGACTTATTGTTTCAATGGTTTAGTCCAATGTCATCAAGAAAGCGAGCATGACTGCATGCAGGCAGACATGGTGCTGAAGAAATTAGAATTCTACATCCTAAACTACAAGGAGTATGAAGAATGAGACACTAGATCTGGTTTGGCTTCTTGAAACCTGAACCTTCAGTGACATACTTCCCCCATGAGGCCACACCCACTCCAGCAAGGCCCTGTCTGCTAGTCCCTCCTAAGTAGAGCTGCTCCCTGATGACTAGGCATTCAAATTTGAGCCTATGGGGGCCTTTTGTTTTTTATGTTTGTTTGTGTGTAGCCTTGCCTGTCCTGGAACTCACTTTTTAGACCATGCTGGCCTCAAACTCACAGAGATCTGCCTGTGAATGCTGAGAGTAAAGGCCTGTCCCACTGCTACCCAGCTATAGGACTACTCTTATTCAAAATGCCACACTCCCTTGCAGATATGATCATGGTCAATAAGATCTAGGCAATTCTTCAATAGAGACTTACCGCTCAAGTCACTCTAGGCTACATCAAATTGATAAAGATAGCTAGGACATCTGTCATGACTGAAATATGTTGTAAGTATATGTATATTTTGGCAATAAACTATATTTGATTATATGTTGAAAACTAACTTGTATATACTTGAATACAGGAAATATACCACTCTTTTATTTTCTGAAAGTAGCTATCTTACAGGTAAATTTTAATTCATACACACAATTCGTGTTTTATTTGCTGATTACACTGGAAAGAAAGATTACTAGACTTTTCCCAGGTGCACATCACCTGAAGTCACTGTCACTGGTTTGGTCTTTAACAGATGCAGCCTCTTTCCCACCTTTTGTGGAGAAGTCTCGGGTACTGCGGTTTTTTTCCTCCGACATTTGCAGGTAAGTTTCTGGAATGTAAACATTAGATTTTTTGATTCCAGTCTTAAAGCAAAGAATAGAAAGCCTATTTGAAAAACATTATTTGAAAAATAGACAACTATTTCTCTTTCTTTCTTAGGAATGAATGTGGCAATCTGGAATTTACATTCTTTATTTTTCCAAAGTAGTCTATGCAACTGGACATTTTTTTTTAGTGCAAGCCATTTTTGTAATCATTTCTGAGTACTTATTTATCATGTCTGCTGATAAATTTCCAAAACCCAGCAATCAAGGGAATGCCTGGTCTTTCTGAAAAAGTCTAGACAGGATGACATATTTGTTATAGAGCTGTGTTAATAATTCACACAGCATTTTTTTTAATTGGTGGGTTTTAGAATATACCCATGAGTATTGAACTCCATACAACTACTCCTGATCCCCAGGCCTAAACCTGAAGAAGAGACTAGGCAATCTTTAGACACCTCAGAATCATTGCCCTATGTATAAACTTCTGCGAACAGTACTGTGTCACATCGGAATAGCAGTATGTAGAGAGAATATTAAATGAACTGCGACACTCTCAACTGGGCATGGGGAGTATGGAGGGTACAGATCTGGTCTATGCACACACCCCACCAGGCAAGAGGCTCTTTCTTTAAGTTCTTTTTGAAAGATGGAAATTTCATTTAAATGAAATACAAATAAACAATTTGAATAAGTCACATACATGTTTGCTGCACAGAAGAATTTGAGTATGAGAAGCGTCTTTGGCTTTTATTCCCCATGACAGTTCACATGTAAACTTGACCTCAGAAGAATTTTTAGAACTAAAGAATTCATATTTCATACTTGTGTTTTTAATCATGGTACGTTGTAAATTGTAAATACAACATCAATAGTTTTTCCTAAGAATTTTAAATTCTATCAGGAATGTATGACTTCTTTCCAAGTAAATCAGGAACACAGAGTAGCTTTAAATAAATGAATCAGATCTCCAAAACAGGATTCAGGCTCTTAGTATGAAGCTCTTTCTTCGAATATCCATGTAGGTCCATCTATGCTGTGTTTGGATCTGATATTGACCTTAAAGGAATCCCAGTGTACAGATTTGTTCTTCCAGCCAAGGCCTTCGCTTCACCGCTCCAGAATCCAGACAATCACTGTTTCTGTACTGAACAGGTCATCTCGAATAACTGTACATCATACGGTGTGCTGGACATCAGCAAATGCAAAGAAGGTACTTAGATGTGCTTGTTACCAAAGTTCATGCATATTTTTCATTTAATAATATTTGGGAGTTTTATTAATTAAATTGCAACATAATTTTGATAGGACTAGAAAACATTGTATTATGAAAAATAAAGTATATTCAGAAAGACAGATACCAAAATTTTCCCTTATATGCAGATCCCGTGTGTGTGTGTGTTTGTGTGTGGGGGGGGACTTGTAATGTGAACCATAACAGAGAAGAATGAAGTCTTAAGTGGGGAAAGAGACAGTAATGAAATTCATATGACAAGAAAGCTTAGATGAGGACTGCTTGTTAGTTAGGGAGAAGAATCTGAAAGAAAGAGTAGATGGAGGGAAAAGGATCACAACATATAATATATTGTTTACTCATAATTCTTTGTATTAAACAATTAAAATTAAAGAAATAAGTGGTAACAGAGGTATCCTTTGGTAGTGGTGAATCTTTGGTGTTTTTTGAGGCTTCTATGCTGTTTCAGAATTGCAAAATTGAGTCATTGGTATTACTCCATGTTGTGTTGGTGGTCAGGGAAAAGGGAAAATTCCCAGGATACAATGAGTTTCCTAACCATCCGCTATGGTTGTAGATTTTGCCCTTAGAAAATAGAGAACAAAATTAAATAAACTTTTATTATGTCCCTAAAGTAAGAAGTGTAAAGACCTCAAGGTCATCCTTGTCTTGTTTACATTCTTTATAGTCAGTAAGAATAAAGAAAATACAAATTACTGAGATGTTCAGAGCTGTCGTAGCACCACTTGGAGTGTGAGAACATGGATCAAGCCTGTACATGTGTTGCTCTAACTTGGTTTAATGGTGAACATTTCAATTCTGGATATTAGTGTGTGAAGAAACAGATATCAGCTAGCTGCATAGTAACATGCAGATAAAACGCTCTTGCCCTCAGCATTTCAAAAACACCTATATTTTAATCCGTAAAAGCTTTATCCTCTAGTAAACATTTTAAACGATCATATGAAATGTAAAGTAATCGATTTCCAATTGTCTCTTTAAATGTGTCTTTAGGAAAGCCTGTGTACATTTCCCTTCCACATTTCCTACATGCAAGTCCTGATATTTCAGAACCTATCGAAGGTTTGAAGCCAAATGAAGAAGAACATAGGACATACTTGGATGTGGAGCCTGTAAGCCATTGTCTTGTTGATCTGATTTGGTTAATATTCTAAAATTTAAGAAAATAATTTTATCATATTCTTGAATCATATCCTAAGGTTCACTAAAACTGCCAATGAGGCTAGCACTTATTTCTTCCTATTCTAATTTGTACATGGCACGAAACTCAAGTGTATTTCAACACATGAGATCTTACAAGGCTTTTAGTAGCCTATGGATCCAGGAATTCTAATGATAAAAGTTACTGTAATTGCCTTACAGTTTTATACATATCATCATCATTATCATCATCCTTATCACACTTGACAGGCATTGTTTGTGTGAGGAATCTTTGCTTTCAGGGATCCAAGATATTACCATTATATGTAAGTTTCAGACAAAATCTGTAACAAGACAAATGTATAACAGTTGCTATAGTACTACTATTACAATTTAAATTATCTTAGCATTCTTTTCCCAAACTTGAAGGGAGACTATGGTTGCAGCTACATTTGCCAGGCATGCGTGTTCTGATACTAGCTATCGGCTTCTAAGAACTTTGGGGACGCACTCCTGCTAAAATAATGGAAGTCTGTAACATAGCCTTTTACTGATACATGGATTGTAACCAAACAAGTATTTGGACATATAGTTTGGGAACTAAATTAACTATCTGATTTGCCTCTTTTTATATTGTTTTACTAATGTTTTTTATTTCTTCCCAGCCAAATTATGTGGATTTCACAATTTAAAGAAAACATTAATGTTAGCTAGGAGAAGAAAATTCTCTCTCTGACTCATATATATATATATGCATATATTATATATGTAGATCAGTGTGTATACAAACACTTGTTGGACCTGATTACGTGTACATAAGCACAGAGTTTAATAGAATCTAATTTCCCAACCTTAAGAATTCTTCCCTTTTAAATTCAAAAGGACACTCTTTGTGTCACAGATGGTAAAACCTGACTATTACAAAATAATGTTTTAGAAGCTTGTAATTGTTTAACTTTGCTCTTTTTAGATAACTGGATTCACTCTACAATTTGCAAAACGACTTCAGGTCAATATACTGGTCAAGCCAGCCAGAAAAATCGAGTGAGTCTCCTTATCATTTTTTTTAATTCAGTGAGTAGCATTCTTACAATAATGTGAGTAGAATAGTGAAAATGTCTTATGGTTTTTCATCATTATGCCATTACACAATTACTAAATGCTTAGGACACTTTTTACTAGAAGAATCAGACATGGTGTTTATTGAAACGGCTTTTATGTATTTTAACAATGTTAGTTGACTGTTATTGGTGGCGTCTCTTATGTAACATTATTACTACTACAATAACTTGCATATTATATACTTTCCTAGATTTAAATTTGTAGCTATAAACCAATAATATAATTAGAAATATACATTAAATACATGAATGGACAATCTGAAAAAATCTTGTTAAAATTGATTCACTGAACAGAACAAAATCAAAGAACTTGAGCAATACACAAGATTAGATGAATTCTTAAAATTTGTTTATTCTAAATGTCTTTTACATATGTCTGAATATTCCAATAATTATTTTTGTGTATTATAGAGCATTAAAGAATCTGAAGAGAAATTATATTGTACCTATACTTTGGCTTAATGAGGTTAGTATTTTATTATTCATTTATAACAGTTTATGTAAAAGATTTTGGTATTTTTAAAGGACGTGTGATATAATATTTGAGGATGTATTTACATTTCATATAAATATGATCTTACACTTTGAACATCACTACTAGAAAAAAGCTAAATTACATAGAAACACTCAAGCTTTATAGTTTGTTGTTAAGACAGACAAATGATTTTATATATTTTACTTGTCATAGTACTAAACAGAATTCAAGACTCATTGACTACAACAGTGGTATTAAAAAGTCAATTATTCCTAAACATGACATATTAGAACATACTGACAACCTTTGGACTGACAAACTATTTTACTGTAAACTGCTAAACTGATTAATCACAAAATTAGAAAATGCATTGCATAAACCCTCAAAGCAAATACAACTGTTGACCTTTGCAATTTCTCCCTGACACCAGGAAGCAACATTTGGAAAGTTGTGAAATATCAAAGAATTCCAAAGATCAAATGAATGTTGGTACACTGCTGATTTCTGTTCACATAACACAAGTGGGAAGGGAGACATCACTGTACACTGGTGTGTACTTTAGTGTGCACATTGAATTGTACCGACTTTCTGATGCAGCTGATACTTATGCATGTGGTTAAAGAAAGGATGGCATAGAATTATTTTGTTTCACTAATTTACTCAAATAATATTAATTATTAACTTGATTACAGACTGGAACTATTGGCGATGAGAAAGCAGAAATGTTCAGAAATCAAGTGACTGGAAAAATAAAGCTTCTTGGTCTGGTGGAAATGGTCTTGCTTGGGCTTGGAGTGGTGATGTTTGTTGCTTTTATGATTTCATATTGTGCTTGCAGAACCAAGAATAGAAAATAAGTAAGTGCTCTAGCAAAGTATGCATTCTTTTACTATTTTCATTTTACCAAGTATTGTTATAAATTAGGGCAAACATATTTCTAGACATGTTTAGCCAACTATAATATCTTAATATATGTATATCCCAATTTTGATGTTTGCAAATTTAGAAACAAATGATTTGAGTTGTGACCATTGTAAATTTAGCACAAATGCAGATTTTGTCTAAATTTAGACTTAACAATTTCTTTTATTTTATGTCAGTTATTGAAAATTATAATTTATTAAAATTATAATTACAAATTTTAATAGATTGAAATTTATAAGAGCAAGATAAAAATGAAGATATAGGAATGTACAGATTTTGATGAAACAGAAGTAAACAAATATCATCATAACATTTGGATGGTTGCCTATACATATTAATCATTCCTTTTCCCATTCAGTGATTAACAGCATGACATCCTGATGATAAAAATCACTTGGTGAAAATTAGAATATAAAATTACAAGAAAATCAGTTAATTGAGTAACACAGTTTAAAGAAAAATAGATAATTGTAGATAATACTTATGAATTTTGGGCAAAATTGTAGAGGGTGTTCAAGGCACTATGATCTATATATTAGTGTCTAACTTTTCTACATAAAAATGAAGGTGCAAATAAAGTAGGCCAGCCTAAAAGTGAACTAAGTTGGAAGGAAAAGTTCCCACTCTCTGCCTCCCCCCCCCAATACAGCATGAGTAGAAAATGCTTGGTTTGAAAAATCAGGAATTCCAAATAAATCAGCTTATTCTGCTTAAGCTAAAGATTGAGCATAAATTGTCCTATGTAGAAGACTTTGATTTTGAACTCAATAGCTGATATTGAATAAATAATAATCATGCTAGACAATTTACACGAATTATCACATCATTCCTAATTGAATTTTTTGTGTTTCCAATAGCTTGAATTAAGCATTGTGCTATATCTTCTGGAGACATTCTAGAATATTATAAAAATGTAAAATTGTCAGTGTTGAAGCCTAGGTTAGTCATATTAGTGTTTTCAAAACTAATGTGGAATTTAGTTACTAATGTTTATTTTATGGGAAACTGAGCATTTTTATTGAAGGAAGCACCTTGGTGTTGTGTTCTGCCTCATTACTGCCACTTTTTCTGAAATTTATTTGCACAATATGTGCTTAAAATGCTAATCTGACATGTCCACATTGTAATAGTTCAAATAGGAGCTGGAGTGATGCCAGGGAAGTTAAGAGCATCAGTGTTCTTCCCAAGGACCCAGAACTGCTGGCTCCAGTTCCAGGAGGTTGATGCCCTCTCCTGGCCTTCACGGTCATTGCACATGCTGATGTTCAGATATACACACAGGAAAAATACTAATCGGACTCACAAAATAAAGCATCTAAATCTATTGAACGAAAACATTATTTTCAAGAAAAAAAAACATGAGAAAAATACTCTCCTCCAAATGTTAAAATACCTTAGTATTTCCCATTAGCCCCATCAGCAAGTTATGATGCATATGCATATATCTATAATAGATTAAAAAGACTCTCTACTAAAATTGATCAAACCCCTGCTCAAGTACAAAAGGATACCTATACAAGTTAGAATTTTCTTTGATTACATGACTAACTTCATAATTGCTTAATGGTCCTCGAATATAAATTTCCTTATGTTTACATATGAGTAATTGATAGAAAGAATTAAAAATTCTTAATGTCTTTGTCACTATGTGTCTGATTTATTAATGCTTTCCAATGTTATAAAGCATCTCCCAAAAAAAACAGACTTTCTTTTGCAATAACTTGACTATGGTAGGCTTAGAATTGTGAGGGACAGATTTGCTGGAACATTTTAAAAAGTATGAGTCTAGCAAAATCTGTAGACAACTCTTAAAGGAGACAGTTGTATAAACGGAAATGGGTAAAGTGTTAAAGAGAATGTGATTTACTGCATATTTCCTGAGGGAAATGCACCAAGCTCAGTTTGATTGTAGTGACATATGCACCACTTTATGGAAGACAGTCTTGAGTGTATTGTGATGTTTGGCAACTGATTTAATTAGCTACCCTCTCTGGTCTTATTATGCTCAGCTCCTGGGAGTTAGGATTCAGCTTTCAATATGTGTCATTCTTGGATGGCAAAGTGTGTCCCCTTAATGATGAAACTCTTAGAGGATTTCTCTCTTTATCTTCAGATATTGGCCTGTATAATTGAAAGTATCATGTGTTGGATATGTGGGAAAAGACTATTTTAGCTATTAGTTATCGCACTGCTTTCTGACTGGTAATGTTTCTTCTACTTTACAGGTAGTGAACAAGACTACATTTACACGTCAGTTACATAAAGATTTTTGATGAAACCAATCTACAAATGGAGACTTAATATATGCTTTGTTTTTGCAAAACCCACCTATCATTAGTTGGAGAAATGGTGGTGTGTGTGTGCTCTTTCTTTTTCTCTCTCTCTTTATATGTGTGTGTGTGTGTGTATTCACTAAGCCAAAGCATATTTCAAAAGGATTATTGTAACACTATAGCCTATGTTTTTCATAGAATCCAGTACTTTGTACAGTCCATCATCTGTAACCTGAGTGGACTTCAGTTTCTATAGAGCCAATTTTTCTTGGTTGGTTCTGATTTATTGTTGCTCTCCATTATGGCAAATTTCAAAAATGTACATTCTAAGCAATTTTTCTTTTCCCTGTTTGTGGGAAAACACCGTCATGTCTGGGGTGCCACAGCAAGGTCAGATATCACAGAGATTGTTTTGTATTGTTTTGCTTTGCTTTGTTTTTTTCCTAACACTGAGCCCATATGTTTTGTCCCTCACCATGAAATGGACATTTTTAGCCCACTTTGCCTCTTCTTATTTAAAGTATGCTTTCATGTCCTGTCCTGTATAGCTCTTTCAAAAACTGAATAGGTTTTCCTCTTTCTGCTCAGCTGCAACTAATGCAACCTCAGAGAGCTGTTATAGTATTGAGATGTAAATGATAATAAAGGAACTATTTTAAGGAATATTGCAAAAGCTAGAATGTGCTTTTATAATGCATTTTATAATACCTTCTGCTTTCATGGTCACCTAAGAAATTACTGGTTTCTAATATTAAAGATGTTGCTCTTTATATATAAATGTTTTGTCTAGTTCCTATTGTATCACAAAATGTCATTTTTCCCTTGGAAGTATTTTATATGAAGCTATATAACTTTCTGAATTATTTAACCACATTTCTTTGTCTTAATCCAATTGGAAAAGGCATTTTGTTTTTGTTTTTATAGCAACAATGTTAGACTAGAGGCTAATTCCTTTCCAGTTCCAGACACATCAATTTGTAATTGTGTTTTCTTTAGCATAGTGGCCTGTTATAATATATATATATATGTGTGTGTGTGTGTGTGTGTGTGTGTGTATACCCATGCACACATACACATGTGTATGTGCATGGGTGTGTGTGTGTCAACAAACTATATAGAAGAGAAAATAGAAACAACCAGTTTGTGTTTTATGCATAGAAAGATAAAAGGAAGTGAGAGGCAACTTTCCTGTCTAGATATAAAAATAATCAAGAGTAGTATGACAGCCTGGGAATGGAGTGCTGAATCAGTACGTAAGAAGCACATTATGTTCCCCCAGATGAGCTGGGTTTGGTTCCGGCCCACATGTGTCTGCTGAGAACTTCAGAGAACACCTGTTATAGTGGATGCAATGCCCTTTTCTCTCCTCTGCCAACTCCGGAATGCATGTGGTAAACATATATACACTCAGCCACACACACACACACTTGGATTTGAAAAAGAGCCAAAAAGAGCACATGAGAGGATTTTAAGAAACAATTTAAATAAATAAATGACAAAACACAAAGATGTTTTTAAAATAATAATAGCATCTAGATGCAAATTTCAGTTTAATCCTTAAACTAGCACCTCTTAGGATGAATGTTTCAGATCTCTGTGGATACTCAAAGCATAAAGTCTAATGTCTCTTCTTTTAACTGGGATGAAAACCATCACTGTGAAGTTATTGACAGAATAGCATTCCCCAGCGTATAGAAACAAGAGGTGACATCATGCCACATGACTGCAGGGTTAATGGGGTGATGCCTAAATCTCTCTGGGAAGGAGAATAGAAGAGATTTTGTGAGTGTATTGAGAGCAGGTGAGGATGGGAATGTGAGCGATCAGGTTGGGGAAGGGGCAGAATACCAAAAAGACTACTGAAAGGGGTGGGCATTCTAGGTTCAGGTGAAAACCTGGCACAAGTGACTATACCGTGAATCTACAAGGATGATGCCAGCTAAGAATCCTCATAACAGCAGATGCATAGTCTGAATGGGTCATCTCCTGTGACCAGATTGGTGCCTAGCTCAATTGTCATCCGAGAGGCTTCATCCTGCAACTGATGGAAACAGATGCAGATCCATAGTCAAACATTAGGCTAAGTTCAGGGAAACCTGCAGAAGAGAGAGAGGAAGGATTGTAGGCACCAGAGGGGTCAAAAACACTACAAGGAAACTCACAGAACCAACTAACCTGCGCTGACAAGGGCTCCCAGGGACAGAACTGAGAATTAGGGGCCCTGTATGGGACTGACCTAGGCTGTCTGCATATATGTTAGAATTGTGTAGCTTGATCCTCTTGTGGGACTCCTAACAGTGGGAACAGGATGTATCTCCAGCTCTTTTACTGGCCTTTGTGTCCCTACTCCTTATACAGGCCACCTCACCCAGCCTTAATACTTAGGGAGATGATTAGTCCTACTTCAACTTGATATTCCATGTTTTGTTGACACTCGATGGAGAACTGTCCTTTTCCAAACAGAAACGGAGGAGGAGGAGGAGGAGGAGGAGGAGGAGGAGGAGGAGGAGGAGGAGGAGTTCTAGGTGGGAACAGGTGAGGTGGAAGGCTGAAAGGACTGGAAAGGAGGAGGGAGAGGAAACTACAGACAAAATATGAAGTACATAAGTAAATAGATTTATTAAAAAATAAAAAGGTGCATTGCAAAGAAAAGGAAGAAAAGTTCATATGACATATGACCCGCATTGCTTTACCTTAAAACTCAGTGAGAACAGCCTGGACAGACCAAATTTTGATTTGGAGAAGAGGGAGACAAAGCTTTGGACTTCTCTGTACATGTTAACATCAGATGTACCACAGTAATTCCTAACATTGGGACAACCCTGCCCCCCACCACTGTGTCCTTGAGCCAATACAATACAGTCTCCAAGAATAATCAGTGCCCAGTCAGGCACAGACATCCATCAAGGTTAACTCATCTATAGCCTGTATCAATACTATAAAACTACAAGAGCTTTAGACTTCAGGAGAGACTGGGGAATTGGGCTGTTTCCATGGCTGTGAACTTTAGATTTGTTTCAGTGTGCACTTGTCTGTGGTCACACAAGTCCTCTCTTCAGTTTTATGGGGCTGGGGCATCTAAAACCACTGATATGGGCAAAGTGGCCCAGATATAGGTAGTCAGCCCTCCACTGATTGTAGACTTTGATGTACGGCCATAACCTTAAAACCGATAGGAATTATGACATCACCAAGTGTGGAAAGATGGGGACAGTGGCTTAGTAAAAATTCAAAATAACTGGCCTATAGCTATTGTAGTAATTAAACAACGTAGGGAAACAATTAAAGGCAGTAAGAAAAAAATCTATGTGAACCGACAAAATTTGATATTGAATACCATTAAAATTCCAAAATTCTTGGGGCTGAAAAATAGAAAGAAAATATTAAAAATTTCAGTAAAATGCATCAAGATGAGATGTGCTAAGGCTTAAAAAAAGTAAAATCTCAGTGGCAAGTTATTAAAAAATACAAAATGCCTTCTACATCAAAGGGTTCTATTTCTGTGAATCAAACATTTGAAAGGAAACATGGTATTTACATTGAACATACACAAATTTTATTGTTGTAAGATAACTATATCTTATAAATATTCTAAAAGTATCTTACAATATATGACAAGGAGTAATTAGGTTATGGGCAGATGATATGCAATTTAATGTGAGGGATTTGAGCATCTGCATATTTTGTATCAGAGGAAAGTCCCAGAATCTGTAACATATATATGAAGAACTGTATATTTAATTTAACAACTCGAGAATAATGAAAACGCATGGAGGAAATTCAGGTATTTAAGGTAAAATAAAATAGATGCTTAAGTCAAATTTTAAAGAGAGAAAATTAAAGGAAGGGTGGCATGAAATATTCCCAACTACTCAGACCTGGGAATCAGGAAGGTTAGCCTTACATCTTCACCTCTCCTCCATTCCTCCAAGTCTAATCACCAGTCCCATCATGCAATCTGTAATGGGCCTTCTAGTTAACACTTCTGCCTCCATTCTGAGAGCACTAAGCATATCCTAATGGAACATCCTGCTTTGCTCCCTCCTGGGACCACCCTCAAAACCAAACCTCTTAGTCTATCCCCTTCCTAAGGGTCAGCTACCAACACCTAGAAACACATTTTACCTGGATCCCCAGAGATCACCACATCAGGATCCAGGAAGAATTTCTTTCCAGCCAATACACAGCCACCACATTTTTCTAAGAAGAAAAGAGAGCAACAGAAACCAAGGAATAAAACACACATCCAACAAGAACAAAACAAAATAGCAGTACCTAGAATTGCAATTTCCCAAAACCAAGATGCCTAGATGTCATGGAAAAACATAATCAATAACAACCAGGACAATATTTCTCCACTGGAGCCCAGCAACCCTACCACAAAAGGTCCTAAGCACAGCAAATGACCTTAGAAATAACTATGAAAATGATAAAGGCCCTTAAAGAGAAAATGAAAATTTCCCTTAAAGAAACTGAGGAAGAGGGGAACCAAAAATTGACCAAAATCAATAAATTCCTTAAAGAAAACCAAGAGAAGCAAACAAAACACAATCAAACACAAACCACAGAAATTCTGCAAGTGGAAAGTCTGGGCAAACAAACAGAAACTATAGATGCAAATTTTCACCAACAGACTATTAGATATAGAAGAGAGAATCTCAGGCACTGAAGATACAATGGAGGAAATAGATTCATTAGTCAAAGAAAATTATAAGCCCAAAACATTCCTAACATAAAATATCTGGGAAATCTGGGACACGATAAAACACCAAACCTAAGAATAATAGGGTTAGAAGAAAAAGAATAATGACAATTCAAAGACATAGAAAATATATTCAGCAAAGTCATAGGAGAAACTTTCTCAACCTACATGCGTGTAAAGGTACAAGAAACTTACAGAACACCAAACAGACTGAACCAAAAAAAATTTTCACAAAAGTTCCCTCGACCCAAAATAACCAAAACACTAAACATATAGGATAACGAAATAATATTAACAGCTGAAAAGGAAAAGACCAAGTAACATAGGGTCTGACTCAAGGCCTCTGGTTTCTGCTACACTATTGATATGGGGCCCTCACTGGGGCTCCTCCTGTTGTCCCCCTGTGTCATGGAGATTGGATAGCTTTGAATCTGCAATTCCAGCCCCTCCTGTTACTGTTTAAAAATACATTTGACTTCCATGCAATTTGAGACTGCTATTTTAACTTTATTGTCTACTCGGGAGCTATTGCTATTAAATTTCTTTCTCAGCCAGGACAAGCATAAATATTTTGAGCTGTTGTTGAATTGTGCGAATTCTGGCATCCTATCAGCTTCCAAATCATCTGGGAACTTGGTAAAACTGCAGATGCTCAGGGCCTATACTGGTCTGAACTAGTAGTGTAATGTAGTACATGCTGACTCACACATGCCAAAGGCCTTGAGAAGTGAGGGGTGAAATCAGCTTGAGCTGGATTACCTGTAAGACCTTTGTTACCCTGTTGCTGGTATGAACTTGTGTTATAAGAAGGACATGTGAAATCAAAGCTGGAAAAGCATATTGGGCTGGAAGGAAATCCATCAGACAGGCATGTCATTAGAAATATTCTTCCGTTTGTCATTTACTCGGTTTAGCAGGTAAAATGATACTTGCTGACAGCAATAAAGCTACTCTAGATGGC